ATATATAAATGGTTGTAAGATCATGCTATCGGACATCGATCTTCTTGCAGTAGTCTTGCAATAGTCTATACCAACTGCCAAACCATTCCTCCAATTAATCTTTGTTGGGCATCTTCATATAAAATAAAATTCAAACAAGAAAAAATATAGAAACAAAGGAAACTATGTGTCAAATCTCCGAGAGGATTAATCCAACTGCTCAATTTTGTTTTTCTAAAATAAAAATAGAACAAAATGTTCTCAACGGCAAACTGATGAACTAGTTGAAAGATGATGGTCATAGCAGTCATAGCACCTTTCTTTCTTCTATCTCTAGATTTTTTTTTGGCTTATTCGTCGCCTATTTCCTTTTCGTTTAATCGCTTTCTTTCTCTCTCTCTTACTTTAAATTATTAGATATAGACTTAGAGCTCCGAATTCTGCTTTCTATGTACTCTATAAAAATATGCTTTTAAAAACTCAATTATTAGAAAATAAATGAAAATGTACCTGAACGGATACAGCAACAACATAATTGCAGAACTGATATCATCTTCCTGTCCTTAGCAAGCAACAATAATTTCTTTTGGAATAACATAATCAAACCATTCAAGCGAACTTTTAAACAAAATTTTTTGTCTATAAAAATAGTAAAATGCATTTGAAAAATAATATTATCTTTCATTTCATCTTGAATAAGTAATCATTTCATCAATTCAAAGAGTTGTCATTCGCATTACCTCTGACATATAACATGATCAAAAGAGAACAGAGCATATCAATACAACTACAATGTACTGATTCCGTGATAAATGACATAAAACATCTGATAAGCGAATTTGTTCCATCTAAACGAATTATGCGACGCTGACGTATCAGTGATACTGAAACCAATTAGAATATAAAAAGTCGAATTCTTAAACAAGACAAATAAAATTGTGCGAAAATCAAAACAAAGACTGGAAAAAAGATATAATATCATAACATAATCGAGAAATCAAATTTTAAAAAACCCCCAACTTTTCGACGCTAAAGAAAAAACAAACCAGAAGGTTTACAGCAAGTGATGAAACCTAAAAGAAGTCGACAGAAGAAGAATGTGGTTAATTCACTGCGACATACCTATAGAAAAATATTTGATATAATAGAACTGAAAGTAAAATTTTGATTTTTAAAAACATTTATTTAAATGATAATTTTCCTGATATTTTAAATGTGAATATATTTTGGCTGTAAAGATCAAATTATTGAAAAGCGACCCTATTTGATTAGATTTAATATTTTCCAGCGCTGCTTTATCAGTAATAAATCCCGAAAGTATTAATCTTCTATTCGATGCTGTAGCCAGAAAGGAAAACATTTCTAAATATCCGAAAATATAAACCAACTAAAAGATAATATGAAACTCAATTTAATTAATATTTTCATGTGATATATCAATGAAGGTGAAAAACTGTTGCACTAAGAGGGCGAAACCATGACAATCATGGTAAAATGGTAAAGCCATTAAATCGATTAAAAGTAATACGAAAAAGAGAGGTATATAAAACGCGATATATTCATACTTTCAAAAAAAAATACAAGTTTTAGCATCTTGAGCTTATCAATAAAGATTAACACCAGAATTCTAACCTCAATAGCTTTCAACAACTGAACCAAATATTCATCAGTGGACCGATTATTTATATTCTGGAAAGTAGTGGTAGAGAAACTGACATTCCGATCAGCACCTTTTAATAGAAAACGATAGCTCGAAACATTTTTTGCAATCTATAAATGTGATAATCCTTATAAATTGACATAGTTTCTAAGTCAGATTTATTATTTTGTAGTTTCTAGAGCTGAAAATATCTTGGCATACTGACTTTTTAAAAAAGACAAATTGTAGGAGCCTCGTCGATTAATAACATTATGAATGTTTATAATTTTTCACATTGCAGAATTCAAGTTAATGAAAAATAAGACAAATAATATAAACTACCGATTCACTATATAACTTGATGCAGATTTCGGTTTGCTTATATAGTTCCGCCTCGCTACCGCCTTTTAAAACCATTTCAATTAATCGTATTACGGATGCTGATAACGAGTTATGAATATCACATCCATTGCTGAAATTTCAATAAAACTGGAAGGTAGAGAATAGTATATATTTATCAGTAAGTGCAATTATAGACACCGAAGATGACTAATATTTGCTACAATTAGCAGAAAAAAATAACACGAAAGTTCTGATCCATTCTGCGGAAAGCTTTTAAACCTTGTCGCAGTTTAAACAGATTTACAAGTCCAGAATTTCAAAATGCCAATCTAAATAAAAAGAGATGAGCTCAGGATTATTACTAGAACAAAATAAAAAACTATAAGCTAGAGGAAAATCGGGAGACATCAAATACAGATTGAATTCTGCATTAAAAAAGAACAAACTTGAATGCTAATATCGGTGAATCTTCTTTAGGCATATCTTTCGATCTTAGATAAAATCCATTTGTACGAACATTTCATAGATTCCTGACAACATTTGCAATTTAATCAATCGTCAACCTTTAGGATCTATTATCATTTTAATTAATCCGACATTACTTAGCAAAACAATGATCAAGTCAAATGGCAGGATAAGAAAGTGAATTATTACACAAGGCAGAAAGCGTGCAATATAAAAAGAAAAGTTTATTAAATTCAAACATGAAAGCGGTCTTCCCCTTGATATATACACAAGCTAAACATAACAGTAACTGCAAGCTGCCTAGTACTTTTGAATGAATGAACTGAAATATTAAAAATTGTTAAGGCAATCTAGAACAATAACATGAAACCAATCAAGTCTAGACAGAGGACATGATATCTCAAACCTGCGAGTTATTGATGACTTATAGATCTAAAGGACTAACCAGAATACATTGGCATTATTGCTAAGAATTTCTTGATAAAAATTCCCAAGGAAAAAGCTGGCAACGTCTATTGTTGCATTATTCATTTTATTTTTACTTTGAATCGACTAGTGAGATTACAATGAAAGCACAGATAATCTATTAATTCAATGATATAATCCAATAAGCTATCAAACACGATATCAGCGACGGTTTTATGCAGCAGTCACAGTAAACGGTTTCGATTCCGTAACGATTTCATCACTTGGTTTTACATTTGCATATAAAGGTGGAGATCGAAGCGGCAATGGATATGGTTCCGTGACCTCTAACTCATTGTAATGATTCACACAACTAAAACCAAGAAAAAATGTTAGAGCAGTTTCATATTTTGTAATTTTTTGCTTGAAAGATATCACGAAAACGCTGTCTAAAAGCTATGGAATGCAAAGAAACAAAATTACTAACGAAATTTCAAGAAAGTAAATAACTGCAAGATCATTCTCCACTACAATTAATTTATACAATTAGAACTATATAGCATAAATGAAGGAAACGATGTAAAAATGAAGTATAAGAGGCATTCTTTTAAATAGAAACCAAATTAATAATAAAATTAAGCCAAGTATTAGTGATATATTTAATATTCAGCGTAGGAATGATAAGCGATCACTATAAAGTGATAATAGCTCTCTAGTAACTTACAAATATGCGTGTTTTCCACCTGTTAATTCAAATTCGACAAGCCGGGTAATACCAAGATCCTCTAACGTTGGACACCCGGTAAGTACATCACTTGTGCATTCAACTACTCTGATCCATTCTAAACTAAGTGGTGACGGATTGCGGAAAAATTTGTAAGGTAACTCAACAGCAGCTACATATGCTCTGCAATAAACACATATTATAATTATGCAGCAGATATTTATTTAAATACCAACTGCTAATAAAATACCAGCTTTTACATGCATTTTTAAGAATATCTAATTATCTGCACATGGTAGTGATACACTTTCTGCAAAAGTTTCATTAACCAATCATAGCATCGACCAGTTTAGTTTTATTTTTTAAATTATACTATTTAGCACACAGAAGTTTTTTTTGGTTACTTAAAGCTTTTTCTATCTTACTGTGCTTTAATACTCGAACATACTCTAAATATTGCTATCTATATGGCGATATAGTACTAAATTAATTTTTATGAAGAAAAAATTCAATACCTATATAAGTAATTTAGATTTCGACGGCGATAATGTCGATGCGGGAAACGTGATGAAAGGTGAGCCCGATCATACATATAGTCAATTAATTCAGAGAGCTTATAACAATGGGGACCAACAAATTCATATGTTTTGCCAATAGCATGTGGATCTACGATAGTTTTCTCAACACCTTTTGACACATCACCTACCTATAACCGATGTTATTACCGCGTAGTTCTATCAAATACAAATGGCTAAGTAGGAAAAAAAGCAATAATCTAAAACATTATCTTAAAAATGGAAAATATTAAGTGGATTTGTGTAAATTCATTAAATTTATATTGCTGCTGTAGAAAGGATTTGCCTTTACTTTTGAGAAAACGAACAACAGACATTTCATTTTTTTCTGATAAAGCAAATACGTTAAAAATGCATTGTTTTTAGCATTTAATACTAAAGAAGGGTAGAAATGTGATTTTGTACTAAATTATCATGTTAAAGTTCTCAGAAATATGTATCTGTATACTGAAGAAATTTAAAATTTATTTCAGAATTTAAAATTACCCAGATGGGCATTTTGTACGTGTGCTCTCCTTTCTTATAAACGTAAATCACGCTTCGGTGCGGGATGCGTTGAAGTGCCAGAAAATAATTTATGAATGCGTCGTAATTTCCTCCATACATCATTGATGGTCTGAAATTTCGGTGATTTGAAAAGCTTTTAAACATAATAGTTTTGTCAATTCTTGCCGCAGATAAATGAATAGCCCTGAAAAAAATATGCTAATTTGAATGGATCAATATTATAAAATATTTACAAATACTCTCCCAAACTTTTTTCTTCCTTGTTAATGTCGTTAGAATTTCGACGAGATAAATATCTTCCTAGAAACTTAGAAATTAGTGTGCGCAATAAATGTACCTTATGATTGTAGCGCTTGGGAATTCTTCACGGACGACTTGTTCCCCAAGTCCTTTGGTACGAAGAAATTGTGATGGCTTATTGTACAGCGTCGGTGGAGTATCTTTAGAGGCATTCATTGCCGACATGTGGATAAATCTGAAAAAAAAAAGATAAGTAGAACTCAAGCTCCTGGATGACAACTTTTTTGAAGCTTCCTGTTAATATTTAATACAACTTAAATTCAAATTCGAAATTTTAGCAAAATTCTGACTGACTTTTGAATCCCCATTTCTTTGGCAATTCGAGCAATTCGTTGTGCTCCTTCAATATGAGTAGCTTCAAATGAATAATTTTTCGTTTCATATCTTGTACCAATTAAATTTACAACTACATTGCTGTATCTAATAGCCTGTCGAATACTTTCCTCATCTTTTAGTTGAAATGGTAATAACAGCACTTGCCCAAGTTCTCCATGTACCTGAATTATCTACATAGTTAGGTTTGCTTTTAAGATAAATTTCGGAAAATCTACAAAATAAACAAGTTAAATGAGTTCTTGTGAATCTAAATTCTTGTGCACTAACTCATACACTTCAAGTTTCTAAAGAGAGAAAAAAGAAAATAATAAATAAACGAATCAATAAATAACAAAATATCTTTGCTTCCAAAAACTCTTTATTAAATGAATAACAAGCTGAAAACGAACTCTTAGGTGTCGGGTGTAATATGGTTCTTGTCGACTTGGTAAAATAATTTGATGACCTTCTTTCGCAAGTCGATTTATCAATAATTTTCCTAATAACCCAGTGCAACCGAATACGGTTACTACATTGCCGGAGAAACTGCATCGACCACCTGTGCCCTGTAGTACATACAGCAAAAACCATTAATTAATGCTGACAAAAAAGAAAAGTTGTTCTGCGAAAAAATTTCTGTAAGTTAGAGTTCAATAAAAGCCTGCCTTCCTGAATGCAGCAAGTTTACTTGTCGGACTGGGCTTTGGTAAATCGAGCTGTGTTGCGGAACTACTGCAGTAAAAAGCCTTACAGAGCATGCCTTCCGTCCTCAATATATGGTACCGTCGGATATTGCTAACAACAAGCATTTCCAGCTCCTGCAGAATTATGTCTCAACTTAAAAATCTTTTCCCTGATAAATACCTGTAAACCCATGTACGTGTAAAAAAAATTCAAACAATGAAACCAATTCTAAGTACACCATTATCTTCTTTGTTGTGGTAAACATATACAACAATTTGAATCGTGATTTTTCTTACAAATCCTAGAATGTGAACATTTTCTTCAAAAACTAATAAGCTTCGAATATTGAATTTATGAAATTAGAAAAGAATTTAATCCAGTGAATTGTCAAGTACTGATCCCCACACATTTTGAATTATTATAGCGAGACAATTCAAAATAGTTTAAGCACAGAATGCATATCTATAACTGTTCAGTGATCTATACAAGAAACGGTATTATTTATTTGCATTCAGATGACCAGATGAACAAAGAAATACAAAATATCGCTATTTTTATAAATATCAAATCCATTACTGTTTCTAAATAATTCAAATTAATACACAATAAATAAACATATCACATCAGACCAAGAGCTAAATTCACAATGGCACAAGAAATATTGAATAAAAATTGTAAAAATGTCATAGTTTAATACTTGTCTAGCAAATAACTATCATTATACAATACATATTACCATATCGATGATATATAATAAATTTTTGATTTCTGTTATCTCAAAACTGAAAATACATATACCCGGAGTCAACTATCAAGTAATCCCTTTAACACACCGTTGATAGGAAAGACAACCAGTATCATGTGAAAAAAGTTAGTTGAGCAAGATTTTTTGGCAAAGACGACACACTGATCATTGGTTAATTTGTTGAAGAAATCTGAGTACTTATACCCATATGAGATATATCTGTTGCTCTTCTCAATCGAGAACAGAACGTTTGAAATATGAATTCGTTTAGCAATTGTCTCATTAAGTACTTTGTAGTCCATACGCACTACCACTCTAAATATAACATATTTAAACGATGCAAAGTTACCATGACAACAAGAAACATAAATATGTATAGAGTTATACATTCACATACCTACATATTACAGACGTGTAGATAGACAGAGTTACGAACGATAACAGACGTAAAGGCCGCTCGATATATATAATAAATTAAAAATAAAGCAGCTACTACCAGATTTTTTAAGACTTATAAAAAAAATAAAACAGATATAAACTGAAAGTAGTCTGCCAAAACTCAAAATTCTATACTGTAGACAACGAACATTCTGCTGTTCCAGAAAAAGCTTACATCACACATAACGATAAGTCATTAAAATCCATAAAAATATTAAACTAACATTGATAGCATGACATTCTTCCTCGGATATTTGCTTACGACGAAGAAAAGGAGGTAGTTGCCAATCCTCGATTAATTCTCCTCGTTGCATCTTAGCTTTTACAGCTGATGATGACGCATTCAGTGAAGAAGACGGCTCTTCTGCAGATCGAACTTTCGTGAAATTTCTTCGAAAGAAAAATTAAAACCATTCAAATTGATTATTAGAGCTTTATTTTTTCTACATAAATCCATATTTGATAATTCAATATAAACTAATATAATTTAGTCCAGTTCAATTAATTATGTTAAATTATTTCAACTCCGTCCAGTGGAATTAAATATAAAAGTTTGCTACGTTAAAAAATATAGAGTAAAAACCAGAACATTCTTGGCATAAAGGACTAACCAGACATCGATGAAGATTTCGAATTACATACCAATGATGGTAAGGCTGATCTGAAAAAATAACGATAAAGCAACTGCCAATTAGATTAATTGAAAAAGTATCCATAATTTTATTACTTCTGATTACGTTTAATGGAATTTTATTGCTTCGGAATATGAATAAAGATAAAATTTAAATATTTACCGGTCATAATGAGGCCGTGGAAGTCGGGCACCAATGAATTTAATCAGTGGCTTACGCATACGACCCTGAAACAAAAATAGATCTGAATTTGAAATCTAAGCAGCACTTCTCGAAATTAACAGAGTTAGCTTGTCATTTAACCAACTGGACATCACAAACAGGAAAAATGTAGCCGTTAGAGAAAACTTCATATAACGCAGCGTCAATACCTTTATGGTAGTCAAACTGTTTGTAATTCCAAAATATATGTTTTTGAAATTGCAATTCTAAAGAAACTAGCGTACATAACTTGTATGCTATAGTACTGGAATTATCTCAAAACGATGTAATAAGTATTAGCATATATGCAATTTTTACTTTATGCTTCAACCAAAAGCAAATTAAAACTGAAGTCTGAAGATATGTTACTTGATAAATGACTTACAACTATTGATAAACGTGGATTCATTTTTGCTCCAGATTTTTTGAGATGTATTGTTCTGGTCGCTATAACAAATGTTTCCAGGCACTTCAGTTTTACGTTGAACCAATACCGGGCTAATTGTTTCTAATTTCCCTGCACAATTTTCTGATTCCAATTTCTGCAAAAATAAAAGAAGCGAGCTGGAAAAATTTAAGAGTGAAAACATGAAGTTGAAAGTAAATTCTGAAAAAGTTTCAAATAATAAAAATGAAACTTCCATCACTTTCAAGCAATTTTTGGAAGTGAGAAAGCGGGCTCTCAAAGAATATTAGTGTTTGAATGATCTTGAAAAAGATTGATACTTTAAAGGATTTCCTTCGGAATACCGAACGATGCAGATTAGTAAGCCGCTGATAAACCGAAAGATACCTGGAAATGAAATTATATTCATACCGTAATATTACTTGAAACAATAAAAAATTTGCATAAGTTTCACTTTTTTCACGCTTCTGAGATGACTTATTTTATTCATCGAACTACCTATCCTGACTTCGACCTTTAGCATTCGACACAACATGATCTAATTTCAATATGGAGAAACAAGGTTTTTTGTAGTTAGTTACCAACTCAGGATAGAATTAACTAACTAAATTATTTATACAAAAAAGAACAATTACTTTTCCCTCTGAACTAAATATAAAAAAATTTGCATGCAAGTTTATACAAGACATTGATTGAAAATTTTGAAACACCGAAATGGAAAAAAAATTTTAACCATTTCGCTACAATAATGCTCATTTCGAGAAGTAATTACAGCAGTAAGTACTGTTCGCTTCTATAATTTATTTCCATCGCTTTTACCTATCATTCTGAAGTCGTGCACATTTTGGAATTTTGGTGTATGTTATTTTAGCCAAAATATAATTGATGTATTGTAAAAGTAAAGAATGTTAAATACTTGCATCCATTATTAGTCGGTTAATATGTGAAGGATTTCTTTTGGATTAGCACAAAATTACCGATATGATCTGATAAAAAGTAAAATAACCAGTAATTTACATTTTAACTCGTAGAATTAATATTAAAAAGAATTTATCCTTTGGAAGAAAGACCTAAGGCTTTAACTACATCATAAGGTCATTAGCTCCATCAATACTGAACAAAGTTCACTTCGTTACACCTCACTGACACGTGTACCCCTCTCCCTTCCTCTTCTCTCTTCCAAACGAACTTATAGTGGAATGATCGTGGAGAAACACTACGCTTTAGCGGCCCGTGGAAAATCGTTAATAAAAACAATAACCTTATGATTAACAGGCTATATATTAGCTGGCTTCCAAAATTATTCGATATGTGCTTGACATTAACTTGACCTCGACTTGGTGTCGTATTTTTTATTATCCGATTTATGTTATATTGTTAGGTAATTCTCATGTTACGGCAAATATACTATGAGAGTAATATATGTGTTCTGGTAGTTCCATTTGTTTTTTTAGATTCGGCATTTACCGATTTTGAACAGTTAAGATTTTCTGGTTCTTGAAATCAAGAATTGAACTTTTGGTTCCAAAATTGCTTCACAGCAATGAAGTATGTTTTTGTATTAAGTTCTTTATTTATTCGGTTAAAATTTGTTTTATCAGTAATTGCTTGGGTTACTGAATTTTCTATTCACTACTTACGTACCCGCAACTCGTCCGATATCGTATTGTAGCAGTAGCGGTATATCATTTTATTTAATATAGGTTGATGTGTGATGCATGATAATAAGGACAGAAATAGCTTGCTTGAAACAGTCGTATTTCGGCCATTATACATGCGGAAATGGTTCGGTTATCCAAAAACGATGTTTGCTAGCGGTTTGTTTAATTTTTATTTATCATGTATCAGAAATTAATCCTTCAAATAATCTTTCAAAATTCGTCAAATAATGATTGTTCCCAATCTCTACAAATGATAGCACATTTTAGAATTGAACGATTTATCTCGAACCAAATTATCAAATGAATATCAAGTTTGGGCAAAGCCAATTAAAATAAATTTCACATGTTCCTGAAAAAATCGAAAATTTAAATGTTTGAAATTTCATAGAACTACATTCTTATCATTGTAGATAATGTAAACGACAATAATTTTGCTTCTGTTGACTTGACAACAGCTGGACGAAGTGGTACTGCAATCATTTCGTCCTCATCATATATCTTTGAAAGATTGAAGGAATTTTACGCCAATGAAAGTATTCTTTTTAAAGTCATGATTAATTGAATTTGGACAACAAAAGGGACTATGAAATCTGTCATTCACTCTGAGTTGTGTTTTCTGGAGTACTTCTAAAATGAGTAGAAAGGACTTAGTTGTGATGAATACCACATGTATTTGTTGCTTGATTCTCCGGTTAATTAGGAAGTTTTCTACTGACTTCATTTATCTATGACTCCTTTGCAGATATGGATTTTGAGAAATGGATAACGTTAAAGAGCATGAAAGTGGCATTTTTTACTCATACTATACTTGGCGTAATTGCAAAGGCGATTTTAGCGAAGGCTAATCAACAAAATATGAGTTTTCCGGTGAATATGATTTCGCAGTTTTTATGTTTAATCAGTTGCTCTCCATGTTAAAGTATGAATAACTCAAGTCAAAAAAATGGGTCGAGGAATTTTGTTTTATTATTTTCTTTTTATTTAATTGGTTTATCGGATTGCACTACACTGTGACTATCCTTGATTTACATAAAATAATTTTTCTAAAAAATTGAAAATTCTACATCCAAAATCAATTGAATTGATGTACAGAATAGAAAGAATGTTATATTTTACAGGATAGTAATGTCAGCGCCAGTAATGGATTGAGGAAGTGTTTAACGAAAAGCATTTTTAGCGGCACTGCGATGGCTGTCAACATTGGATGCATAATGTATTAAAGTTAAATACTTTTATTGATTTATCGTAAGTGAATTAGAAGCTTATTATCAATTTTTCAGGCGTAAGAAAGGTTTTTAGTTGTATGAGCAGAGCTTGATACAATGGTATAAACAAAAGCCTAGAGAATTGCATATCAAAAATTTATAATTTTGCAGGATTTCTATAACACAGTTTGCAGTATGGCAAGGGCATTTTTCACTTTGGACTGTTCCGTGCGCTACTAGTAAGTATTTTCAAATTAGTATGTGAAAACAAGTTAGCAAATAATACCGTAAGTGGATAAATGAATAATGTCACTGAAACTTGGCTTAACTCGATATTGAAGTTTATCTTAGGGTGAATGCTAGAAATTACTTGTTCACATGAGATTAATGCCATTATCAGCTTGATTAAATTTTTTCACGAAAAATTGCCATGAATTTAGTATGATTTATGGTTTACAGATTTTTGTGGCTAATTTCAAAGTTTTCAGCTATTATTCCAACTGTATTCAGTTATTCTTTGGGTGTGAAGCCGTGGCAAGCAGTGAAAGGTGGACTAGTGCTAGGGCAAGTTATTTTATTGTAATTTGCCGTTACTTTTTTGAAGTGAATTTCTTATAGGTATTTTTCTGTAAATCCGTGTAAGAAGTTGGAAAAATCGTAAGTTATTAAATTTATAATTACGTGGAGGAAATTCGATAAATTTTATTATGTATAGGAGACGTCTATGGGATCATTTACAATTAATGGTTGCTCGAATGATCCAATGGTTCCTTTTCTCGAAGATTCTCAATTCGCTAGTACCTTACATGGCGATGTTTATCAGCTCACAGATTTTTTTGATAGTAAATCTTTTTTTTTTCAATTTTTTTTCAGAGCATTTTCATCGTTGGCAATTTTCGGTGCTTCTCTGTTTTACGAATTATCAATCAATGAAATATATCAATACCTTAAGAATGACATTGAAATCGAATTGCGGAAAGAAAAAGAAAGCGATTTGTACAGATTCATGAAGGAGCATCATATTCGTAGCAAATGGTTCGGGAAATGGATGTTGGATAGAAGTCGTATAGATGAAAATATTGATGATGAATTATCTTGATAAATATAACTGCTAATGGACGTTATGGGTATTTTATAATTTTAATTGATTTTTTTACTGATTTTTCATTATGTATATAGAAGCTTTTATCTTAAGTAATACCATCCTTCGTTTCGTGAATTATGATTGGTTTATAAATTACGTACTACAGTGTTGTTGCTGTTATTTTATAATGGTAGCTATTAATTTAAATATTTGCTATTTCCTACATGATTTCCAGGACTGTTTGTTATTATTGTCAACTTGTCATATTGTTAAATTACGTACGAATTTTTTGTTTTGGTGCCGATTAAATTATTTTGTATTTAACTCCAGGAGATTCGTGTAACTGCTCTCTTGATACTTATTTCCGTAAATATCAATTTTTTATGAGATAATTGCAGTTTTTATAGTAAATATTGATACTAGTACATTCCCAGTTTTTTGAAATAACTTATTCCTGATCAATTTTCAAAATTATAAACTGAAAGGAATGTGATAAAATGAAAAGAGTAAATGAATTTAAGTGTTGTGCTGTAACGTATGTAGTAAGCACTATTATTGGTCTTCTAATTTTAAAGCTTTCTAAATAATTCGGACTTCCTGAATAAACCGGTCAGATGAATGGACTTTTGGGAAAACGTTATGGCAAAGAAAAAAATTGTGTAGAATTAATGGAAAATTTCTGACTGTTCATGAGAATAGATTACTTCTCCAGTGAATTTTGTTATAATTATTTCTAAATGTTTAGTTTTTTTTATCGGCAGCATAGATTGCATTCTTAATTTTGTAGTATGAGTTAACGTAGTATTAATGTACAGCTTCTGTTTACGAGATGTTAGCGGCGTCAGATATAATATGTAAGAGCTTTAGACAACAAAAACAAATATGGACTTTTGAGCTTATTGTTGGTTTTTTTGAACTACTATCGTCAAGTGGAAACAAATGTGCAATGGCGACCAGAACTCGATATCGGCAATCCACACAGCATCATTCAAATGTTGCTGAAGCATTTGATGCTATATGTGGTGTATCCATACAATTTGCTCGTAAATATCTCTATATAAGGACAGATCGAAAAGCTATCTTCCATCTACTGGCAGTTCTTGTGTTATCGCTTTTTGCTGCTTTCGTACCTCTACCCAATCATTATTACTTTGTAAAGGTTAGTTTTTTTTTCTCATATGAAGTTTTGTCTTTTAAATGTTTTAATCTTCTAATTTTAAAGCTTTTTTTGATAAATTTATTTGTTTAAAATTAAACATTTATAGAAGAATAATATATTGAATAGTTATTTTGTTAAATTGGGTTGGTTTTGGACATGTGTCGTTGTATGTCCATTTATTTGGTTTGTTTCGACTGCTATTGGGCAAAGCATTTCGGGTGCGTCTTCAATTGTTCCTTTGTAATTAGTTCAAAAGATTCAATCATTTTCAGTTTGTTCGAGCATTTTTCATTCTACTAAAATACGCAAAAAATCACTAAACCATGAAAATTTTCTATTTTCTACATATATTCTAAACTTTTCAACTCATTTTTTTCCGGTGCAAACATCAAAGTGATATTTTTGAGAATTATTCTTTTAAATGGTGATTTTGTAATTTTCCTCTTATAATTTTAAAGTTCCTATCGTGAAAATTTATGAACTTCAGGGATTATACAGAATTTAAGCCGTATGATAATCGCCACAATAATATGGTACTATTGCACTCATACGTGAGATCTTATGTATTTTGTATTTTGAGTTTTTTCATATTCTGCTTCTTATTTTTTATATTTAATTTTGCGCTGAAACTTGGGCGTAATACTATATTTTTAATCAAATCGCATCAGTAATAAAAAGTATAGCAGAAAAGTGCTGATTTTATGCGATTATTTAGTTATACTCTTCAGGTTTGTGGTATTTGAACAAATGACAGGACACTGTCACGGTTCTAAGCTGAGTTCTCGTACATCGTGTGCTATTGATGGTGGTAAGTGGGTTCCTGGCTTTGATATTAGCGGTCATTGCTTTATTCTTATCTACAGTTCTCTTATCATATGTGAAGAAGTAAGTTATTATTACAACCAAAAAGAAATTCTTCATAAAGATTGCGGGAGTTTTTAGTATTCATTATTTTTACTTTGGATTATTCAAGAATGATGTGGAAATAAAGCAGATCTAGACTAGAAATCTGAATGCTTTTTCTTCCGATATTGTTTTTTATCAACTTTGACTAATAATCCAAGTTTTTAGGCATTAGCGTTCCGCGTTATAACAACAGCCCATCGCATTCAAAAGATGGCATCAGTTAAAAACGAAAATCTTATTAGAATTTTTTTCGTTTTTATGTGTGGCCTTCATTTACTCTGGGTAATGATCTGTCATCTTTAGCAATAAAATACCAAAAGTTACTTTGATCTTTTTTGAAAGAAATTTCTGGCTCAATATTAGTTTGCAGAATGCTTGATCAGTTAAATAACTCCTTTCTAGCAAACCTAAAAAAGCATATTTGCTAAAAGAGGCACATTTCATTATTGTTAATCCTATAGTTGTCTTTTTTGGCCATAATATTTATTAACAAGTCGATTAATAATGGTATTAATTTTAAACACTATATCTATGTTATGCATTTCGCTAAAATTTACTAACTTAATTAAAATCTATTCTGGATTAATTTAATCCGAAAAAAAACTAATAAACATTCTTCATTTTTTTTACAGGATTTTGAACTGTTGATCTCGGTTCTTTATTATCACCACATGTATCACAAAGTGATGGGCGCACTAATCGCTATTCTTTGCTGGTACTTTACATATCATATTTGGTACAGGAAAGTGGGAATTCCACCGTTGCCATTACAGATTCGTAAATTGTTATAATAACAGATAATTGAAGATGGCATGAACCACCGAGGAGGATTCCCGACATCAAAGTTGTATAATCATTTATTTTATTCTCTCTACGATTATCGATAGAACTCATAGGTCTTCTTTGATATAGCTTGCCTAAAATGTGTTGATGAAGTTCCAAGGTTTGATTTCAATAGGAGAGATTTGCAATGATAACTGTGTAAGTTTTTAAAGTCTCATAATTTTGATACTGTTATCTTATAGCTCAATCGACTTTATTTATATTCATATATGGCCTGCATTATATTCGTTAAAACAAAACATCCCTATTTTTCCGGAATAGATAGAATAATGAGAACAGATAGTTCTCAAATACTGAATGCAAACAATGATATAATGATTAAAAGATCTTGGAACTTCAGACTGTTTGAAATCCATACCAGCTGGTTAATTTTTTTCCCGCAACATGCGTCCTGCTTTATTACATTTTTTGAAGTGTACTCATTCTTTTCTTTAATCGTATGTTTTCTATGATATTCAGACAATCTGATAAATTCCCGAAGTAAGATAACAAAGTAGAAAATTCTTTCTAGTAATATTAATACTATGTTATATCATTGCTTTAAATTAATGAGTGATAAACGGCTGGAAGTGTTACCTTTGCATAAAGTAAAAAATCTGCTCAAAAAAAGAGCTGGAAAAGACGACTAAGAATTTCTAATTGAATTTCCGTTTTTTGCAGATACTGAACAAAGTGATTAAATAATAATAACAAAGGACACATTTTTCGTTGAAACATCGAAAACAGTATGCATGAATCCGAATTTCCTTAATTGAAATTTAAAAAATTAGGTTAGAAAAGTCGTACTTCTTCATGGTTTCAGGAAAATGCAGCTTAGCAGTTAAGTCATGCAATAGTGATTTATATGATTGAAAATCAAGTATTTTATATGAATAATAAGATTTATATATTTATATAGTATAATAGAAGAAGTTCAAATACCAATGTATTTCCACACATTAAAAATCTGAGCGATAAAACGGGAAAAAGTTTCGATTGCAAACAAGAACAATAAGAAGAACTGTTTTTTTCTATAAATTATTCGTCATGAACTGCAACTGCTGTTGCCTATTCTGACAATGGCTTTCGGATTTTTCTTTGCGCGTTCTGAGGACCTGTAGCAATGATAATCGGACGATCTGTTTGACAATTTTCGTGATAAGTTCCAGAGTACAGCTTTTATTGAAACATGGTATATGTACGAACAGGGAACAGTCCCTGTTATGCTGAAGTGAGATATAATAAGCATATGCGCATAGATATCTGAAAATCACTTCTTATTAGGTTTCCTTTACATCAAGACTATTAATCATTTACAAACACTAATCAGTGAGAAGAATTAAAAAAATAGATTTTGTATCTCGTCAAGCATAAAACTGTATCTTTTTGTGAGCTCTGTTGAGCAAAATAATTAAATGAAATTGTCACAAGGTGTTGTAAATAATTTATTAACTATCTTAGATTACGAAGTAACGTGAATATAGCAGTTTACGAATAAATTACACTTTTTTCTAGTGAACTGCAGAAGAAATTCTCAATCATTATTCATTTTGGAAAAAAGTTTATGAAGAAGCCGGAAGTTAAAATAAAAAGAACAGCATATCCCAACCTTCCTGGATTATCAGACAATTCAAAATGCACACGTTCTCCAGCAAATTCCATTCTCAGTGATTCGACGAGTTTCATACAATCTAATCCAGTGTATATAATATTTTCCAATTCACCAGAAGAGAAATTAACCAGCGGACATTTGTGGTCTTCAGGTGTTTTTGCTAAAACTTTATAAGTACGCATGAATAGAATAGAAATGCAATTTTCATATAAGTTTAATCAATGAAAATTTTAAAATTTTGGAAAGATTTAATTTAATTGATTATTTCACTTAATTTGCAAACAATATGAACAAATAAAGTTTTTTTTTCTGTATGGATAAAAAATAATTACAATTGATATCGTTTTGATAATAACCAATACCACAGCTTCTTGTTTCGATCCTAATAGAATAATTCACAGAATGGACACCCAAATGCACAACGAGCTGCAAAACGATTTGCTATGTCACTGATAAACTCTAATTATCCGTTTCATTGCTAATGTTGACGCTGAAATTATTTCATATTTCTTGGGAAAGTGAAACGTGGAAATGCAAAATCTACATTTCCTGAAACAGTAAAATATGGAAACCATGTACATTTTCAAAGTTAGGCATATTTTATATTTGCTGCATAATTGTTTATACAAGTAAGGTTAAAGTAAGGAAATGCAACACTATGCCAGTGCAAAAAGCAATGCCAAACATTTTTTAGCATTTTAAGGAGGATGGTTTTAATTCTGACAAATACGTTAAGAGTGAAACTTACATCAGGATGATATTCCTTCCAGAATTCAGACACCATATTCTTCACATCATCATATGTTACTGGCATCACCTTAACGATGATCCTGGTATTTGGTTGGATATGTTCGATACCTCAAGTTAAATTTGACGCTGCAGATCAATGATGTAACTGTGTATCTCCTTTCCCCATCGTAACTGTTCCCAGTATTGACTATACATTTTCATTTTAGCAAAGTCTATAGTACCAGTTAACAAAAGGATAGAGGTAAAGCAGACAAAATAGAAGATGGAAAGTTATCAATAAGTAAAGTAAGCTTCATCCATTTCAGCCAAAAGAATACTATGTACCTTCTTTAGCAATCCGCCGTACCACTTTCTCACTGGGATTATTGTCGAAGAGTTGGAATGGACCGAATCCCGTAATAACAATTGTCAATTCCGATTCTGCTAGATCTGTCATATCGTCAGGAACCTGAAATGATGTAAGTTCCGGGACAATAAAAACATATTTTACCGTCCTCACACATCAATTTCCAAAATATATCTCGATTCAGTTATCTTTATAAAAATGCAAACTTTAGTCCGACTTTCAAAAAAATGAGATAGAAGAATTTTCATTTTGTCTCATCAACGTTATAAACAATAGTGATATAATCACTATCTGTAATATAATAAATAAGACTGCTTCATCAATTGACCTTTGAGGAATTGTAGAGCAATCAGAACGGGAGGTGCGAGCTATCAGTCGTTTTCAAAATTCTGTACGGAGCACATTAAACTGTTGCATGTTGACTGTTTCGTTAATCGATATTTATATTATTTGCAACGTGATGAAACTCCCCGGAATGAGTGTTGAAGGAATTATCAATTATTGTTCCTCAGCGTTAAAGCATAGTGTGATGAAATATTTGTTATTTGATTGTTCCACTTATGATATTTATTTTGTTGAGTACAAATGTTACAGTGCGAATGGCAAGAAGAAATTTGACATATAAGGAGAAGGCGTCGGTAACAGCCGTCTTGCAAGAAGATCCACCTTTTATACAAAAAATTAAGGAGAAATTAGGCTACAAGCCACCGCCAACAATTGAAAATAAAGTTGTTCTTCATTAACTTTGATTTTCTACAATTAAATCTACATCATATATATTGAAAATATTTTCTATTTATTTTTTACGCAGTGCAACAAAAACAGAATTTTAAAAAAAAAGAACGAATTCTAAAAAATAAAGTGTATTCACTAATAAATTCAACCTACTGTTTAGTCAAAAACTAAAATTGTGTTTGAAAAGCTTACTACTATTTTTATAGTTTTCAACGACTGCAGGTGAAGGATATATTGAGAATGATCTCGACGACGATGATTTGTCACGAATGAATCAAGAAGACAGACCTCAGGTAAGATTTGCTTGTCTTTATCTTTGTAGAAAAATTTTTCTGGATGAAATTGATCCATTTAGATTGTTATTTTGGATGCTCAGAGAGATCTGAACGAGGAGGAACTGGAAGCTGAATTGGACAAAAGATGCTCTGAAGAAGATCGTAAGTTATTTTAGTGGATTTTTCTCACATTTTTTATAATGTAAAACATATTTTGGATTCAACAGAAAATTTCTTGAGATATAGAGAAAGAGTTATTTTTCAGATATCTTACTGTAACGTGGTACATTATTATAAGTTGAAATTAGGATGGAAAGGAAAGGAAAAAAATTCATGTTTGGTTGCTGTGAGTGCTTGCAGTGGCTTATTTTAGATTTTAGACTGACATGTTTTTATAGAGCGAAAAATTGAAGAAGGGAAGATAATTTTCAAAAAGCCCGTGAAACGAAAAGATCAGCACTCTGAGGAAGAAACAGCTGAGAAACGAAGGTATAAAGAAGAAGTGAAGGAAGTAACCACGTCAAATTCAAGATTATTATCGTTTAATGATGAAGAAGATAATGACTGACAGAGTATTCATATGAGTTTGGAATTGTAGGAAATTTGCAAATAACTATTTTGTTTGATTGGCTCTTGTCATTGTTTTGGTAATTCTTCTCAGTGATCTCACTTCAGGATTATCCATAGTTACTAATTCATTTCTCCGTTATAAGTTTATTTTGACTTTAAGTCAATGGCGAAATTACTGAACCATAATTGGAATATCTGGAATTTAAAACAAAATCAAACTCGATTTCTGTATAACATATTTAATAATTTATCTACATAAATTATAATACAAATAAAATGTTTATATAATTCATTTAAGAAAGGAAGAATTTGGATCTTACATTCCAATACAAATGATATAATGAGATTTAAAGTGCTAATTGAAGCTTGTTTGCTGTTCTCATCAGAAATCGGTTTACACCGATTACATCGATGTTTTATGCAAATATAATTCAGAGATTTGAAAAAAAAAAGTCTTAAATCCAAAATGTTCTGAATATAGAATCCCTATAAGCATGACAAAATTAAAATGACTAGCCTACAAGAGGTTATCTATATTGTTTCGTTCTGAATACATTTGGTAGTTTATTAGTTAGTTTGAAATTGTAGATTTGAATGTGAGTTGTTGAAGTTACATCAAACGGTTGTAAAATTGCAATTATCTTGTTCAAGACGTAATATTAAAGGCATAATATAATTCATTCAGCGATTTAAAATATTTTTCTCACTGTTATAGTCATATATATTCCACTTTATTTGTTCTTTTACTTTTTTTATTAATTTGTCTTACAGCACATCAGCCTTATCGACGTTTCCAATTAATGAAGCACCTGCTGTTCCATAGTAAACTAGGATTCCAGAAATAAAATTTTCATTGAAGAAAATATTTTTTCTTTAAGACTTTGAAGTATTTTTCCATTGATTTTGCAATGGGAATATCGATCTTTTTCGTAGATCTAAATTGAGATATACTGATAAAATCTAGAGTTAGTAAATTATTTTTGCGTTTTTTAACAGATACGAGTGTCCAGTTACATGCTTTTCCCGCTTATTTCTCTTATAAATATATTCTTTTCAACTGGAATGTTGGTAAATATTTCAGTAAGAATGTTAAGATCATTTGTCACGCTCACACTGAAAAAGTTACTCCTCGATCTCTTATTCTTACCTTCTTGCTTCGGATATTTACAGTCACAGAGCAATTTTAATTCTATACCCAGCATTGTTGTTAAGG